AAATTCAATTTTACAACAAATTTTATCGATAATTTATTCGTATTCAATCAATAATTAGTCAATTTCATTTATTTTTCATTTCGTTTGAAAAATTTTCAAACTTGATTTATTTAAAAAAAAAATTTCAAATGAAAAAATTTATTCCATATTTTCGATTATTTATATTTTTTCATGTAGAATCACTCACAACTGTATCATCATTCGTGGGATATTTCGTATAATATGCAATATAATATATTCTTAATACTAGCATATCATTTTAACGCTCATCTACTTAAAAATAAAAAGATATATGTAATACACAATATATAAATATATATACAAATATCAAAAGCTAAAGTGTTTAGCTTAGAGAAAGAAATATTTCATTAATTATTTTTATAAAAACATGTATTTGCATTGATATATATAATTTACTTATGGTAAATTATATGTATATGATAATGGTATTCTACACTTCATCTTTGATGTCACTCTATATAACGATGTAACTCTTTTGTACACGATCGATGTACGCAAGGCATACGAGGGCACAGAAAATATATTGGCCTGTCGGCTCTTTCAGAAGAGTTTCGCGTAGGCGCACAGGTCCGTTCGAGGCAGGGATCGTTTAAAAGGGGATCCACGACTTATTAGGCACCGACATAGGCACAATTCGCAGCCACTATTAATATATGCTAGCCGATTTACTTTTCCGCCTGTTTACACCCTACTTGCGCCGCTTGTTTTTCCCATTCAACTCGATTTCCGGTCGCCCAGCTAATTGAATCACGAATTATACAAGCATGCAATTTGCATCATGATATTTTGGATATCATAACGCAATCTCGAATAATCATACGAATTATATCAATATTTTTTTTATTATAGAAGAGACAACTTCATATTAAAATGGAAATTTTTAAGAATTATATGTTAAAAAATATTGTGTATTTTCGAAAGTTTCATTTAGTAAGAAATATTATATACTATTACTATATTACTATATATATTACTATATATATAATATACAGTATATATATAATATATATTATATATATTATAATATAATATATATAATTATATATATTATTGTATACTTTATTTTGACAACAATATAATTAAAAATAAAGGAATTCAAAATGTACAATAATTTTTATGAAGAAGCATGATGTAAAATCTTAAATAAAAAAATCTTAAAAAAATAAATTTTCTTACTATTTACTTACTTCTTTTCTACTTAATAATTATTGAGATAAGAAACATAAAATATTCTATATATTTACACATAAACTATTAAATTTTCCGAGGTTGATATTTTGAAAAATAAAATTTTTAAAATTATTATTCGAAAAATTATTAATATAAATTATTATAAATTATTATAAAAAATTTGATATATTATCGTGTAAAATATCAATCAATCGAGAAATTGTATAAAATCAGAACTTGAATTGCTTTCACGCATCAAAATCTATGAATATTAATCAACAAACATGTCCAATGAAAAATCATCAATCTGGTCAATATGATATACCTGGTTGAAATCGGATATTAATCAAACCACGATTATTAGTTTCATATATTCTAGAAATCAATTTTTTATTGGAAAGATAGGTAATTACCTATATTCTCATCACATTATGTTAGAAATTTATTGAATTTTATTAAATTTTATTGAATTTTTTTGAATTCTAGAAATCAATTTTTTATTGGAAAGATAGGTAATTACCTACATTCTCATCACATTATGTTAGAAATTTATTGAATTTTCTTTAAAATAAATATAAATATCCACATATTTTTTAATAATAAATTATAATACATAATACAGATTATATCTCATGTAATTAATATTTATTCCAATATTTTGATTTATTATTTATTATCACAGATTATAATATCTATTTATATATATAATTATATATAATGTAAAAAAATTTTAATCTTTTTTTAATAATATCGATATAATGCGGATATAATTAAAAATTTAATTATATTTAATTAAAAAGAATTCTAAGAAAAAAATTCTAATTATTTAATTAATTAACACATTCATAATCATTCATAAAGTTTTATTTTTTTTTGAAATATAATTGGTTATAACTGTTAAAATTATGACATATATATATTTATAGGAGACAAGAAAAAAAAAAGAATACAAATTTAGATAAAGAAAAAATAATAGCAAACATTATTATTATAACCAGTAATTTTTTTTAATTATTTAATAATAAATATAATAATTATTGAAATGACTTCTTCATATTTTTCTTCATATTCTATCAATAAAAATCTATAGTGAAGAAATCATCAAAAATTACAAAAATAGTTCGACATTACATTAAACCAAAGAAGTTATGAAAAATTCTAAAATAATAATTTTAATTGATTCGATTCAATTAATTTAATTAATATATTTATTATTCATTCGTACAAATTGTTATTTATTTTATTTATTTTTTAAATAACAGTTAATTTAATTTTTTACTTATATATTACAAAAATGTGTTAGGATACAACAAATATGTAACTTAATTTTATTTTTTTCTCTTTTTTTTCTCATTCTATTTTGTCTTTTCTTTTATAAAATTTTATTTTGTCTTTTTTCTTTTATAAAAGAATCATTACCCCAATATTATTAACCCCGAGTATAATTAGCTGATAAATTTCGCGTTAATTGCCAGCCATTATAACCGCTTGAGATTAATCGTCCATGATCGCTTGATATTTAAATTAAAAGCAATCTCCCGCGGTTCATGCTAGTCGCCTGCTTCCACGGTGTCCACACTAATCTTTTCTTTCTTTTCATGATTCCTTTTTTCGCAAGCTCCAAAAGCGTTATATGCAGTAAAACAAATCATTTTATAAATAACAAGTTAATTAGCAGTGGTCAAAGAAGGAATGTTTAATTATCATTGATACATTTTTTCGTTTTCTTGGTTATTTCTATTCTTTAATGAATTTTACCAAAATTAAATATAAAATTAATTTTAAAAACAGAAAAATAAATTTTTGACAATTTCAGTTTTCTAAAATCTGAAACTAGATATTTTATTATAGTTTGAATATAGCAAAAGATTTTCTTATTCTAATTGATTATTAAAATAAAATCTGTTTATTTTTGTTTTGTATTATTAAGAAAGAAATTGGATGTTCCGATTAAATACAAAGAAAGAAATTAAAGAAAATTGTAATTCTTTTATTTCAATATAAGTATCACAATCTAACACAAAAGATTTCTTATTTTCGAAATCTATAATTTTTTTACATTATAATTTTCTATTTTTTTTTTTTTTTTTTTTTTTTACGTTCCATTCATTGAATTACCCGAATAAATTAAATAACAAATGTACGGTAATTTGATAATGAATAATAATAAAACACGAAAATGTACGAACGGGATGTAATTCTTTACGCACAATAGACTATAAATCAACGAACAGTTGGTTAGACTCGATTAGATCATGAATCATGTTCGCATATTGATAGAAACGTATCATTATATTTTATAAAACATTTACATAAACCGTGACTCACGTTAAACGAATTTCTATCGCGATATCAATGTAATTACCTGTCGATTTCTATTCAAACCCGAGAAAATATAGATCTAGTTGTCGAAACAACGTTGGTGGTAAAAGAGAAATTCAAAATCACCGCCACTATTGATTAAAACAAGAAATTATTATTATGCGATATAAATATTGTATAATATATTAACAATTATAATATATCTGTAATATACGTAAAATATATTATAATATAACTATAATTTACCTATTAAGTAATAACATTTAAATTTTTTATTTATAATTTTTAAAACTTTATCTTCTATTGGTATTGTATAAGTACTTTAAATAATATAAATTTTATTAATTTACGCACGAAGTAATGATAAATATGATTAGTAATGATAAATGATATTAAATAAATAATGATTTGTAACTAATGATCTCTATCTAAAAAAAAAAATGCATTAATCGAGATATGAACAATTAGAAATAAAAAGAAATAAATAACATTCAAGATTTAAAGAAAAAAATACGTTTTAAATTTATAATAGCAAGAGGATCATTTTCGTTTTGAATAAATTATTTTCTTTATATCAATAAAAATCAATTTATTTCTAATTAATTCAAATCAATATTTAGAGAATAAGAAATCTTAAAGAAAAATCACAATAGTTCAATTTAAATTTTTAAAGAAATCAAAATAATTCGTTTTTTCTTAAAAAAATAATAGTAAGGATAATAACAAATCTAATGATGTCACCAGGCGTTAGATGATGGCAAATAGATGTTTGAAAACAAATTCGCATGACAGATGCGAAAGTACAGTTGTATAACTGCATTAGTAACTGCTAATAGACCGTGAACCCGTGGCAGCTTTTATTGTATCGTAAATCAGTTGGCCGCGAATGCAGATATAATGTCTCTTTACGCAATATGATATCATATTTCATGTAATGGTACCTATCATGTACTATAATTGTAGGCTTATTTTACAGTCAACACACGCCACGAGAGATACGTTTGCAATCGGTCTAACTCTCGAATAATTATTGCGGTCTAACTCCCGATAAAGAGATCACTGATACCTTATCCGGAGAAATATCGATACATAGCTAGTGAATACTAATATAATTAACATGAGCACTGTGATTATGCATCTGATGACCGATCGAGTTCATGAGAAAACGATCGTCTCGCCAAAGAAACCGCTATTCCTTTAATTCAAAATTATACGTACCATCGAATAAATGAATTTTATAACTGTTACATTTTTCATCTTATTATTTCATATTATCTTTTTGAATTTTCATGTATAATTGGTTACTTGAAATTGTAATTTTGATTCATCAAAATAAAAAGAAACAAATCGAAGAAAATTGATCTAAAAATATAAAAAATAAAGCAAATATTAATCATTATTACAGTACATTCTTTACCTTATATCCAAAAATATCAGAATCAACATTAATTTTTCATTATCTCAATTCATTCAATTCTCTTTTTCATTCCAATCTATATGAACGATAAAAATTTCATTAAAAAGCTTCAATTTAAAATAATAAATTTAATTAATTAAATATATTGATTAAAAATTTAATAAATAATAAATTGAATAATGTTATTTTTATTCACGCAGTAAAGGCACGATTCCGATCTTTTTTCCTTCCTCATCCTCGTGCAGCGTGACACCCATTTCCTGTAGCACACTATTCTCCACAACGCCGATTTTACTGCTATTCCGGATGATCTCTTGATTCGAAGGATTACCCTCACATAAATTCCGTAGCGCGAGGATCGTCCATTGCATTATAACTGCGCGTGTAAAATTTAACACGCGCATTAATTAGCGTGTCGGGATATCATAGAGGATTCACCCGAATTACAATAAATAGACGATCACAAAAAACAAAAAAAAAAAAAATAAATAAAAGTTTTGATTACTTACGTGGATTTCTCGCGTCTATATTGCAGCAATCCAGAAGCAAAGGAATAACGTCCATTTCGCGAAGCTGAAAAAATTCAATTCTCATTATTGAGAAACGTAAATCTGCATGTGTATGAATCTGCTTATGATATCATACATAAAACTGAAAAACATCGCGTAAAATTGCGAACCATCATGGAGTATTTATGCATATATGCGAATGCCATCTTTTTTTTGTCTGTAAAAAAGATAACTTACTGGAGATAAGTGGAGTAAAATTGTCCAAAAAAATTACTACATATTGATAAAAGACGAATGTCAAGTAAAATGGTAGAGAAGAAAAGATTATTTGATTTATCTTTATTTGATTTCATCTTTTAGTTGGAATATGATACCGATAGATTGAGATTATCTTTGTATTTTAACATTTGAAGTTATTTATCATGAAATATATAATAATTCGATTATTGTATAAGTTTAACTTTGAAATTTATAAGAATTTGAAATAAAAAAAAAATTTTTTAATAATTTTTAAGGATTAAAAATAAAAAATTTGAAATTTTTCTATTAACAATACCTTAACAAGTTTCTATAATACCTTAAAAGGATCATGGAAGTTACCTAAAAGATATTACATCGTCACAACATCGCAGATGTTAATTTATTTTTATAGTAATGACATGAAGTTTGATTTATAGCATTTGCCATTCACGTAGCCATAAAAATATTATTTTTGTACAATCCGATACATTGCAATCTATAGCTTGTGTTCATGAACTCATGTTCGTGAAAAATGAATCGCTATTGAAAATCGAATGGAACATAATTGAATCACATGTTGGAACAGCGATACATTTTATTGACGAGTCCTAAATCCATAGATTTCGAATCATCGCGCGTTGGTAATTGAACGTGACAAACAAAGGTCTTCGCAAGAAATTTTTAAAACGTAATAACTACTCGAGAAGCTTTTGCGATGGCCGTCATAAACAGGCTCATATACACGCAAATTTTTCATTATGAACCATATGTGTTTCAATGAAACAGCTCACAGCTACCATTGGGTTATATATTAACAGTATAACGCGAGAAAGCGTCACATCATTTTACGAGCAATTGCGACGACGATATATACATTTTACAATTGCTTAAGAAACAAGATTCGAAATATGTACATGTTTATAGTACGAAATTTAAAAACATGATCGCCTTCGACACTTTCCATCATTGAACCAATGAAACAGATAGAAGAAAAAATAAAAAAGAAAAGAAAAGAAAAACAAATTAAAAAAAAAAAGAAAGAAAGAAATCGAAGTATATTCACGTTCTTGCGTTGTACGTATGCGCATCGATAAAATGATTCAACAGAAATATGGCCATGAATTTGATCATGCTAATATATTAACACAGTATTCGATGCTGGTTAAATTGCCGCGTCTTCAACTTGGACAGGATACTTAATTTTCCTTTGTTCGATGAACAGTGTACGCTACACGAGACTCGTTCTCGTTTCTTTTATATATTATCTCTCGCGCGCCAGAGATGAAATCAATAAGAAGTAATAACGATCACTCGAAAGCCTGTATACATATACGTATAAAGGGGTTAAATAAAAATCAAGCAATGGAAAAGTTGTTTTAAACTTAAGGTTTGTAATATTCATCTATATTCTCTTTTGCTCTTCTGTGCCTTTTGTTTTTTCTCGTTTCGCGTGTCAGAAAATGATCTATGATGCAAAAAGTCTTTATACGCGGGTGCGCGTGATAAATGAATCAGCGTTGGAAAATGAAGAATAGAAGAGGAATGGATTCATTATAAAAATTATAAGATCGATGATTAATTAGAAAAAATTATAACATTTTTTTACTTGATATTAATTATAAATATTATAATATATTTTATATTTGTGGTGTAACTATTCGTTACAGTATGTTCAATGTAGTTTCAAACACAACCGTACAAGATTTTACGGCGCTACTTTCCAGAAGCTTTGTAAGCAATTGTGTTGTTTATATTACCAACATATGATAACTTAAAATATTGTTATTGATAATATATATTTCAAATAATTTTTAATTTTTATAATACAAATATTCAAAATAAATTTAATTTTGATTTTAATATATTACTTAAATTAAAAGTTTAATATATTCCATATAAAATATTTTTTTTATAAAATATAAATGGATAAAAAATAAGAATTTTTTACTTACAAGATCTTGATATTCCTTATTTTTATATGACATATTTCCAATAATTCTTATTAAACCAGCTTTAAAACCAAATGTGGGATGATTTTGAAAATCGTTTTTCATTGAACTCAATTTATTTCTATTTTCTTTAAATTCTATATTATTTGAAAATGCCTCTGAATTATTATTTGTTAATCCTTTCATTGTTAAAGTTACATCACTTAATTTTTTTAGTGGTGTAAAATGATTATCTGATTGTTTTCCAATCATTTGAATAGATTTTAATAAATCTGTATAAAAATAATAATATTAAATTTTTTTAAATATCTTAATATTATTATTAAATATATAATTTTTTAATATTAACTTCAAATTATACAAAAAATAAATAAATATATATACTTACAAATACAATTAATAAGTAAATTCTTGTAATTAGTCAGAAAATTATATTCTTCACAAAATTTTGATGTCAAGATTCCAATAATATCAAGAAGAATAACAATTTCTATAGGTTCCACTTCGTCTAAATATATGTCTACTGTTTTTAAAATTAAATCACTTTTTTTACAAAATCTTTCAATCAAAAATTCAATTGTATCTTTTGTAAATATATATTCACTTTTAGATTTATGTATTGAGTTCGAGAGTTCATTACAAATGATTTCTAATAAATATAATTTATTTTCTATTGTCATATCATTATATATATTTTCTAATATATTTTTTTCAAGTAATAAAAGCATAAGAGCTTCTTTTGCACTTTCAAAATCTTGTTTAATTGGTTTTAATAATTGTGAACACAAATGTCTTTTTTCTCTTTCTAAAAAAGTATTTCCTTCATATTTTTTTAAAGCATTATGTATAAATGCACATGAAGCTCTAACAAGTGACATATGTTCAGAATTTGTTATATTTCTACAAGAAAATGCATAATATATATGATAAATATAACATTTTGAAACATAATATTATTTTATTAAAATAATTAATACTACAAAAGAATATAAATTTATATTAATAATACTTACATTATTATATCCTTTAAATTAGTATCATATAAATATTTTGGTATATTATAATGATCTGGGTGATCGTTATTTTTTATAGATGCAAATGTAAATAGATTACAAAGGAATTGAATACATAATCTTAAAATTTCTAATTTTTCATCTACCAAATCATCATCCAACATATACGATGTAATAAAGTTTGATGTCCAATCTATGACACCTTCATAAGGAAAATGAGAATTGAATGGATAAGAATTAGACATTTCCATTTCTTTAATATTTTCATTATTTGCTAAAATAGAATATAATTTATGACTATACGTTCCACGTTCAATATCAATTGAAATATATTCTTTATGTATGTAATTATTGACACAAGAATTTCCTAAACATTTTAAACAAACAATTTTTATATTATTTGGAATAACAGGATTTTCTGTTGTAAGAATTTCTGCTACTTTTGCTAAGATTGAAAAAGCAATTAATTCCCTAAAATTAAAAAATTTGTTATATTAATTTTATAACATCTATTTATGAAATATTATATTTATTATTATTTTTTAAATCATACTCTAATTCAGAAATTCTAAATATTTTCGGATTAAGAAGATTTAATAATTCATTCCAATTTTCTTCAACAAAAGCAGATTTAAGTTTTGGTAATAAATAAATATTATTCATTGTATTTTGTAAATTTGTTTGTTATTTATTAATTATTTTATTAAGAATTATTTTCTATTTTTTTTTGCATATGTTGTTTCAAATAACCTCACAGAACAAATATGTCACGAGCCATTTTTAAATGGGCAATAATAAGTAGTAAATAGATATAAATATAGATAATAAGAAAATAAATTAAATTTAATATATATTTTTTACTAAATAATGCAAAGAAAGTAAAATAAATTTGATAATAATTAAATAATGATTAATAGTATATGTAATTAGTGAAAATAAATAATAATATTTGAAATATATAAATATATTTTGATTAATATTTATATTAAATTGACTAAAATTATATCAAAATACTTTTTAATATTTTAAAAATCAAAGTATAGTTATATAATTTAATAATAAATATCAATTTTAATTATTTTTTATTTTTATGATTTTTATGAAAGTAGATATTTCTATCTTTTGAAATTACTAAAAAATTTTACTATAATTCTAGGGTTCTCAGTTTTAAAGATACATCTCTGTATTTATCCCCGCCATCGATTCAATTCCTTTCGTGACTAGCGTTTGTGACAGTCGGCTTAAATTTAATATTAAACAATTTTTATTATAATAATAAAACTATCTTAAAGGTAAGATATTTTTAATTCTTAGAAAATAATTAATTTTCAATGAGATTTTAATTTTTTGCATTCATATATTTGTATTGATAAATTCATTAGTTTTGCCATGTCATTCCAAGTTAACCTCATTTCATTTAGTATTTTTTTAAATTTTTATAATTATTAATTAATAAATAATTAATTAATAAAGAAATTTATTGTAATTATACTTGAATGTTATTATTTTTATATATTTTTATTTAAATATCTTAATATTGAATATAAGAAGTTATAACCTCAAAACTTTAATATATATACGATAATATATATTTATGTTTTAATATATTTTATTCAAATATAAATTTTAATAATATATATATTTTTTTCAGATGTTTTTAACACGTTCTGAATATGATCATGGTGTTAATACTTTTTCTCCAGAAGGAAGATTATTCCAAGTTGAATATGCTATAGAAGCTATAAAACTTGGTTCCACTGCCATTGGAATTGCAACATCAGAAGGTGTTGTATTAGTTGTGGAAAAGCGTATTACTTCCAGTTTAATGGAACCCACAACTGTAGAAAAAATTGTAGAAATTGATAAACATATTGGATGCGCAGCATCAGGTTTAATAGCTGATTCTAGAACAATGATCGATCGTGCTAGAGTGGAATGTCAAAACCATTGGTTTATCTATAATGAAAGAATGTCTGTAGAATCAACAGCACAGGCTGTATCAAATCTAGCTATACAATTTGGAGACAGTGATGATGATGGTAGTGCTATGTCAAGACCATTTGGTGTAGCAATGTTATTTGCTGGTATTGATGAAAAAGGACCTCAATTATATCATATGGATCCTTCTGGTACTTTTGTACAATTTGATGCCAAAGCTATTGGATCAGGAAATGAAGGTGCACAACAAAATCTTCAGGAAGTTTATCATAAGGTAAAATACTTATCGTAATAGATAATAATATATATTATATATAATATATAATATTATATTATAATATATAATAATATAATAATAATATAATAATATATTAATATATATAAATGTTTCATATTTCATATATATGCATATGCAATGTGAATTCTTGTTTAATATTTTAAATATTTTTTATAATATTTTTATAGTCTATGACACTTCAAGAAGCAATAAAAGCAGCTTTGGTTATATTGAAACAAGTCATGGAAGAGAAACTAAGTGATAATAATATAGAAGTAATGACAATGACACCTGAAAAACTGTTTCATATGTTCACAAAAGCTGAATTACAGGAGGTGATTAAAGATATTGCTTAAAATTTAGAGCACTTAAAACATGTTAATTTTATTGACATGAATATATACATTTATGAACAAGAGAAGTGTGCTATGCAAATGTTGTATATCTGCAAATTATATATACATTTTTCATTTAAAGAATATGGAATTTTTACATGATAAATAATTTTGTACTTTCTCCTTTTCAATTCAGATATGAAAATAGTAAATTGTACATTATATTTTTAATTTTCCATCAAAGAATCCTTGATGTTATTTCCTAATCATTTTTTTGCTCATATATTTATATTATATCAATGTGTCCTAATTATTTTTGAATATTATTCAACAATAATTTATTCGTATAAAATGTTTTTTTATTATCATTTTTATATTATCATCTTTATGCAAATGTAATATTTATGCAAATTTCTTTTTTGATTTAGTTAACTGAGAATTTGGTATCTTTGAAAGAAGATTCAATAAGGTCTAGATCCAATACCTCTGGTCCACTTCCACCTGTCCCATCTATATCTATGGATGGATAAAAAAAATTAAAGCTCGTATATTATTGTTTTCAATTTTCCTCTTATCCTACAATACCTTTTATATTTCCAACGAGCTAATAGTTAATAAAATATTTTTATAGAGTTTTAATTATATGTGTCTTTCCTATTTTAATCATATTAGTACTTGCATTTTATATTATATTCCTATATGTAAAAATTTTAATTTTTTATTGATATAATTATCTAAGTATATTTAATTTCTATTCAATATGTTTAACTTTATAACGGTCATGTCCAAGTTTGGTCCGGACACAATAGACTCATATTTATGAAATGCAAGCCCAAATCATTCAACAGCAATAGATATATTCTTAAGAACGATTTGTTTATTTTGGGAATTAATGCATAATGTTTATATAGTATTAAATCAAAATATACTTAATCACGTAATAATATTACAATAATAATTGTTTTTAATCTGTTCAAAATACCTAATATATAATATGTTAATATATTGAAGTACTTTTGAAAACCAAAACAAGTATAAAACTTGATATATGATTTATATTGGTTGAGATGTATTTATTAAATTATAAATAATCTCATTGGAACAAAATAAGCGTGAAATAGTATTATTTTTATTACACTACCGTCTTATTCTATCGTTGTCTCGGTTCATCTAACAATCGGTTCGTTATTTATAATTTATTTAATTTAAATTATTTCATTTAAATTATAATTTAAGAGATTTATAACTTATCTAAGTAAATCTCAATTGTAAAAACTCGAACAAACAAAAAAATTGGTACAAAAATATCGATTGAAATTTATTTATTAAATTATAATCGAGAGAAAAGAATGAGACAGCAAAATAAGAGGAAGATAAAACTGCTTCACTTTCTTTCTGTTTCGTTTCATGAAATTGTTTATTACTAATAGATAAATTTCAATCAATATTTTTAAATACCAAATTTTCTGTTTGTTTTGATTTTTAAAATTGTGACTTTCAAAAGTATTTACGAATATATTAATATATTTTTTTTTATTTAATTTCTATTCAAAATATTTAATTAATATTATATTAAATAATATTATATTATTACTATATAATATTATATAATATATTAAACCAAAATATTATAATATTAATCGTTCAATAATATATATATTGTTTTTAATCTAAATTTAAATTTTAAATAACAACTCATTTTGCATATTTATATGCAAATATATTATATCGTATATATTTATGCATTTACAAGAATTTTAAAAATAGTTTATAGCAAAGACATAAATCTAATTAAATCTAATTATGATTAATTTATTTTAAATATATTAATCTATAAAGAACATTTCAGAAATTTTTATATAAAATATACTTAATAATACTTAATAATATATTTAATAATAATACCTCATTAAATATGATAATGTTCAAATTTTTCGTAATATAATTAAAATGATATATTTACGATACAATTTAAAATTCATAAAGTTCAAATTTATAAAATTTAATTAAAAAATACTAACATTTAATCAATAATAACTGCTAATATTATATAAAATCAACTATTTAATTTATTCATTGTTGATTAAATAATTTTTATAAGAACATTTATTTCTATATAATAGAAATATTATATATATATATAATATTATAATAAATATTATATATATCTTTACATTATAAAAATATTTATACATATAATGTTTATGATTTATATAAATTGCGATAAAACTTTTCTATCATAATTTCGTGATTTTTTATTTATGTTTTATATTCTCATACATCCTAAAATTACTGTAAAAATTTCTATATACATTAAAACATATTGTGATGCATATATCGATTCAAGCGATTTAACTTAATGGCTCATATTAGACTGCAAATGATGATAGAATGATGTTTTAATCTCGTGTCAACCATTGACTTAAATCCATCACTTGAGTCGATATATATATCGCAATATGTTTGCTGCTTAGTATACGTAATCATTCAGATTTGTTATCTAAATTATATGTAAAAAACAGAATCACATAATTAATGAGAATACAAATACAATGAGAATTATAGATTAAAAAAAAAAAAAAAGACATCGAAAAAAAATGAAAACTGGATCTCTTCCCCATATTCTCATTTTATCTTCAAAATAGCCATCTCACTGAAAGAAGAATTTCGATAGTGGCGTAACACAGGCTCTTCTAGAGCGAATCGTTGTTGGATTCGCATCGAACGGAAACGAACGGGACGGATGGTTCGTTTTCGATTAAAAGCTACTCCAGACCTGTGAATGCCTGTATCCGAAATCAATAATTAATTTCGCCCGGTTACCGAGGGACAGACAGAAAGCGAGCCGAGCCGGAAATGGTTCGGAAACTCGCTCGGTTACTGCGATGTTCCGATAAAACGTCCCTTTTTATCCCGTTCTCTCAGTTGCCAGATTATTGGATATTATTCCATTTCAAGCGTTCAATCCCGCTACGATTCGCTCGCTTGGATTCCCATAGGGGGATCCTCTGTCGTCCGTTGATTGTTGAAGCCACTTACACGCGTGCGTGTGCTCACGTGTATTGCAACCGTATGCTTTATATTCTATTTTGAGATGTTGCATTTCTGTCTTTTATTTTTTTGGTAAACATAGTTGAGAATAAGTCACATTGAACTAAAATGGAATATTTGATATTTGTATAATTTTAGATTTGAATTTTTCAATAATATGACAATATTATAATTTCGATATATTACGTTTTGAAAATAAATAGCATTTTATGTAGATTGAATTTTTATGAGATATTGATTAAAAATGAAATAGCTTAATTTCAATGAAGATGTTATATAGTTTGATATTTTCAGATAAAAATACTATTATGGTTATATTTATATGTTTCACTTAAGTTCTGATACTTGTTAATGCATAAAAAGATTAATAACTTTTTTATTATTTATAAGTGGATGTAATATGAATATTTATTTTAATTTAATAAAGATTGTTGTGTTGTTTACTTGTATATGTTTCATTTATATTGATTCATTTATATTATATATTTTGATATCTAATTAATGCATAACAAAATTAATTTTTATTTATAATGTAATATTTATATATATGGATATAATATGAATATTTTAATTTGATAAAGATTAATATTGCATATACATTAAATAAAAATAAAGATAATATTATATGCATAACATGCATATAATAAGCTACAATGTATTTTTTATTCTCGTATAAAAGTCAATAAAACATTTAAATTAATATTTTTAATTCATATTTTTTATTTAATAAATAATATAGATAAAAATAAAATAAATTTATTTTTAAAATAAATTTAAATAAATTATATAAATATAAAATTTCTATAATAATAATAAAACATTTAAATTTCTATATTTAATTCATATTTTTTATTTAATGAATAGATGAGTATAGATAAAAACATAATAAATTTATTTTTAAAATATTTGAATAATTAATAATTTTAATTATTTATAGAAAATATAAAATTTTGCAATAGTTCAGATAGTTACTGATTAAATCACTATCATTAAGATTTCAGATGAATAATTAATAAATCATATATTTTTTATCATAATAATTCATTATATTATTTTAAAAAAACTACTGCTTGTAAAATACTATTCTATTAATATTGATTTTATTTTATAAGAAGAATATTCATCATTTCTATAAATAAATTTCCATTAAAATCTATTTTATCGTCAAATTATCAAAATTATCAAAATCGTCAATTATTTTTATCTTTCATTAAAAACGCTTTTATATACAAAAATCAAAATGAGAAAGATCGATATTAAAGAACCAATATTCAAAAATTTCCATTTTATTTTAGCGATATTAAAAAAATGAGATTCTAATTATTGCTGTTTTATTGGTAAACAAATATAATTTTATTATGTTCTATTCAAACGAAAAAATTCTTTCGTTAACATTTCATTTTGAAAGAAATATTTTAAATACATTTCAAATTAAGATCATTATTATGTTCAAATGATGGCCATATAGAAATTCTATCTTCAGATTTGATATCAATTGTTCTTCCAATTATATAATCGAAATAAAGAGGATACCGGCAACGTCAAAATCCACGAATCTCAAAGAAATCTCAAAATCTATTTTCCAAATCGTCCACTATCTTTATCTCCATTTCAAACCAATTAAAACTCTTCTACACCAATTATATGACAAAATCCAAACAAGAAAGATACCGGAAGGTCAACGTCCAGAAATCTCGAGGAAACTTCCCGATGGCGATACGGATGCTAAAGGAGCAAAGGAGAAACAGAGTTGAAGAAGGGCTCTGCGGGTTAAGGGAAATGGAGTAGAAGGAGAATGAGGAGGACTCCGTAATTAACTACGATGAGAGCGGTGGGATAGTCCCGTTTGAGTCGGTGAGAATCCCCCGGGACCTGACCCGTCGTATCAGACGCCAAACACTCCCGGCACCGAGTTTGGTCTCGTCCTCGGCCAGCCTCGAACCACGTTCAAGTTTCGCTACGATAATTGCCTTCGCTTCACAGTCGCGCCCCCGACACCCGCGGCATTGGATAAAAGGGACTCCACCCCCGTTCACAGGGAACGAACGAAGCTGCGAAGGCACGGGGACGAACGGATGCCGCGGGGGAAACTCGATAATGGCTTTCAGCCTCCGAATTTACGCGATTCAGATCTCCTCGTCACGGAAACTCTTGGATATTCACTTTTCATCGGTTCAACCCCTTTCCATTTTCCTTTCTTCTCTATTATGGAGTTTGAAGAACATTATTCCGTTTCAATTTTTATCACGCGACGATGAGCGTTTTTCCTTGTTCGTCAGGGGAAATGAGAATGAAATCAATCTTTAAGTAAAATATAAGTGTTATTTTTAATACTTATCTCCTAATAATATAAGATAGAACAAAATTTTAATAAAATTAATTTTAATAAACTATAAAATAATTAAGTTTTGGTGTTTCATTATTCTAATGTAAAAATATTTCTAAGCGAATATGAAATATAAAAAAATGATGAAAATTTGGAAATTGATATTGAAAGAGATTTTTTGTCAAAAAATAAGTTGTTTTATGTACAATTCATTATTCTTTATATTCATATAAATTTTTAATAAAATTAGATTTTTCAATTT